AAATGTGCATGAAGCAAAATTTCAGAAGTCTTGACAGTGAGAGGTGATGACTTATTTCAATATAATATCACGAATGTAGTCAGTGCCTTGAATGGTCCTTCAAGGAACATGGGGTTATGTGGGTTATAAGTACATAATGTAATGATTATGCAGCCAGAATAGCAAGCAGTCACAGATCTCTGTGGGTGCTTTTAAATGGGAACATGATATATCAAGCATGGTATTCTAGATCATATTGCTAGGTAATATTAATTCCCCATGCAAACAATCCTTGTTCAGTTCTTAAGTGGCCTAATAACATAATTAACTGATTATTCATCTTGCCAGATTGGACAAATCATTGTGCAACAAGTTACCATCAAGATGGAGCATGGACATACTTCACACAGATAATCTATTGTTCCCCGTGGGTTTTCTACATGTTTGTACTAGCCTGTTTTCATACTGGATGGGCTTTGTTGTGGCTGATTGTTCAGCTTTATCAGGTAGTAGTTTGTTTCAGTTTCTGCTCCTCTCTTTAAGAGTCATCATGTTAAAGCTTTTCCCTACATGATCTGCTCCCATAAGAACTGTGCCTGTTTTCTTTGATTGATGAATGTCACATCTAGGTGCTTTCCTTAAATCTCAGTGCACTCCTTTCAGTTTCATAGGTACTTGTGCATTCAGCATTTCCATGTTAAAAGTAGGATTACAGCCTGCAAATCATTCCTGTCACTGAGTTCTGGGTTTAGTGGTCATCAAAAATTCCAAACCTATAAAGACTTATTTAAAGATATTTTCTAATAGAAGCGGTATTACTGCCCCCAAAATGGCACAAAAACTCAATAACGTGATTAGCCTGAATCAAAGATTCCATGGCAGAGCTCAGCAGTGCATCATTAAACTGCATTAAATCCCATTACTGCAATAAAAAGATGAGATCCTGGTGGGGACTGTCGAATTTCTTGGTTATGTTGTTCTCAGACAGCACTTGGCTATGCAAACAAGATGGAGAACAGCTGTCTTAAGAACATGTAGGAAACAGCTTGTTTAGCAGGTTTTAGGAAAGATGTGTCATGCGAATATGTGTTAAGCATACTGAGCTAAAGCCTTTTTTACCATCTTGTTTAAAAAAAATATCCACAACTTGCAGTGTGTACTGCTAGATGTCTGTAATGTCCATGCTTACCTTCCATCACGTCCATTACTGAGATACCATGCTGGAAAAAAACAAAAAACGGTTCTAGGTAGGATATTTACAGTTAACTACCATGTTTTGTGTGCAGTCATTTGTAAATGTACTGCTTTATGATAATGTGGCATTCAGCAAAGACTGTATAAGATTTTGCTAAGAAAAGCAGAAAATGGAAGAAGGAATAGGTAAGCAAATATGCAAAAAAAACCAACTTTCATTTTACGAAGCTCAGTAAAGAAGACATGGAATAAAGAAAAGGGAGAAGTTGAGTCTCTGACATTTACTTTTTTTTTTTTTTACATCTACATCTTTTTTGCTAAGCTACTTGGTCCTTTTGGAGGATCTTTCTTTACCAATTTGTGTGGTAGATTACAGACAAAATCTGAGGAGATAAGTGCTTAATGCCTGTAATCTTAAACTTCTGTAGACATCTGTGAAAGTACAGTCTTGACAGTACAGTAAAGTCATCCCAAATAAGCTTGCCTCCTCAGCACAAGTGTTAATGTTACAGTTTGCTGGGTTGTTTTAGTCCAATTGACATGTAAAAACATACTTTTCAGTCTAATTATGGCAGTAGTTACTTGTTAGATATGGCAAACCTCTTCCCATCCCTCCCTTCCCAGTAGTAGCTTTTGGTAGCACCAGAATTTGAATTTGTGATGTTCGTGTTTTAACCATGTTTTACATATTCATTTTGGTAAGATTGCATTCTTGGGATTGACCTCGCATGAAAGAATGAACCTCCTGATACAGAGAAAATCTTCTAAACATGCTGTTTCACTCAGGAGAACTCCATACAAGTGAGTATTCATGAAGAGCACGTTTTAAACACATTTCAGTACTGATTTGCTTCACTGTTTCATAAATGCAAAAAAGTGGTGTTCTGTGGGTGTGCTGATCATGCCTGTTGGGAGCTGTGCTAAGAGAAGGGAGTGGACCTCATTTATCTTGCAGAGAACTTGCTTTGCGCTGGGAAATAAATTGCCAGCATAAGAGCTGCTGGGGTTCTTTCTTGCATGGCTGAATATATAGGAAAAAAAGGTGCATAGCATAGTGGATCCATAGCATCAGTCCATAGCATTCATCAGTAGACACTATTTTGGGCGTGAGGGGATATTGTCCTTTAATTTATTCATTAATATGTGTGTGTGTGCTGTAGATTCAGAAAGAGACTTAAGCTATGAAGTGACTTCTTTCTGCCTTCTCTTGCAGTAGTTAGTTCAACAGAGAAACCAGTACCAAGGTTTCCCCGTTATACTAGGACTCTCTGTTTCCTCATGTGTGGGAGCAGATGAGATCTTACTAACTTTTTAATATTTGAGGTGAACTTAATTTGTTCTCATTCTATAATGTAATACAGGTTGTAGAAGTCTTTAATGTAATACAAGTTGTAAGAGTTCAACAAAGGAATGATGGTCAATGGAGACCTGTGCTTATGTTTCTTCTCCCAGAGCTGTCTTCATTGACAGCCTTATGTCTGTCTTATGTAGTGTCTTATGGTGAATGTGTATGTTTGATGCTTGCAGTCCTCTTATGTTAAGTTTTATTAATGGGTATTTCTTTCCTTTTCAGTCTCGGATGCTTCCAGAACCTTGCAGACTTTTTTCAGTGCAGTTGCTTTGGTAGGTTCAAACCCAGTGTAATTGACTGGACCAAGCAATACAACCTTCTTTATCTGGCAAAGGAGAAAACTGTTCATTCTGTATGAAGTTTTGCTTAATTTCTAAAACCACTGAGCTGAAAGCTAAATAAAACTGGATATTTTGTTAGTTTTTACAAATTCTTCTGAAGTTCCTTGTTTTTGTTTTCATTACCATTTCAAATATTAAACCTATCATGCATAAGCTACAACAGATTTGTATATGGAACAATCACTATATGTCTGTGATGCATAGTTTGAACCGAAACGATCTGAAATTTTATGTGACTAAGAGTGTATTTTTCAAGGTAAGTTTATAGGGTGGAATTTCAAAACCATATTTTTAGCCTTTGCTTTATTTTGCAGATAATAAAAGAAAATTATATTGTAAATGAAGGGGAGTGTTCATATTTAAAAAAAAAATTGTTACATTTGCACTATAATTTTATTACTGATATTGTGAAAAACTCTTTTAAGTATTTGTGTTTGGAGGGCTTATATGTAATAAAATAGGTCTTTCTAGCTTCTAAGGGTGTTTTTACAGACTGAAATAGTCAAGGGATTTGTGGCCAGTGAGGTATGGTAAGAACAGCTAGGCACAAAGACATAAGAAAACACCTGACTCTTTGCCTCCTGTTTTGCATGTATATATGCCCTGTTAGTGTGTGAAAATGGCTGTTGGTGGTGAAAAAGAGCAATTGTCGTGGTTTAAACCCAGCCAGACAGCTTGTGCACTTGCTCCCAGTGAGTGGTGCCGGGCTGGAAGCAGTCGAGGCCCACATCCCCCCTGCTCCCGGCAGCTCCCCCACTTCCCTGCTCCCGGAGGGATGGAGAGGAGAATCGAAAGAATGCAACTCCCATGGGCTGAGATAAGAGCAGTCCAGCAACCAATGTACAACACAAATCACCACCGCTACCACCAGTAACAACAATGGTAAGAGATAATAGCAAGGGAAAAGAGTACAACACCACCCGCTGAACAATGAGTCTGACCCAGCAGACCCCCTGTCCTTCTGGGTAACTCCCAGTTCCCCCCTGGGCATGACGTGGAATGGAATACCTCTTTGGTCAGTTTGGGTCAGGTGTCCTGTCTCTGCTTCCTCCCGGCTTCCCCTCCTCCCTGGCAGAGCATGAGGCTCACAAAGTCCTTGGCCAAACCAAAACATCATTTTTATCAGCTCTGTTCCCAGCCCGAAAGTCAAAACACAGCACTGCACCAGCTACCAAGAAAGAGAAAAAATGACTGCTACTGCTGAACCCAGGACAGCAATGTTGTCTTGGGTTCAGCTGTACCAGTTATTTTTCTCCTTCTTAGTAACTGGTGCAGTGCTGTGTTTTTTACTTTAGCCTGAGAACAGTGCTGATAACACACCATTGTTTTTAGTTGTTGCCAAGTATGCTTATCCTGATCACGGGCTTGTCAGTCTCTCATTCTCTGCCAGTGAGAGGGGCACAAGAAGCTGGGAGGAAGCAGGGACAGGACACCTGACTCAAACTAACCAAAGGGGTATTCCATACCACAGCACGTCATGCCCAGTATATAAATGGGGGGAGATATCTGGCAAGCCCAGATGGCTTCTTTGGGTCAGGCTAGGTATTGGTGAGCAGGTGGTGGGCAATTGTATTGTGCATCACTTGTGTTCTTTGGTTTCCTTCTCCCCTGTCAGTTTCATATTCTCACCTCTTGTTTTTTCCATTATTATTATTGGTGGTAGCAGTAGTGATTTGTGTTATACCTTAGTTACTGGACTGTTCTTATCTCAACCTGTGGGAGTTACATTCTTTCGATTCCCTTCCCCATCCTTCTGGGTGTGAGGGGGGAAGAAAGAGGGAGAGTGAGCGAGCAGCTTTGTGGTTCTGAGTTACAGGCTGGGCTTAAACCATGACAAATGCATACAAAATGAGGGATTTTGCATAGATCTTTAATAACCAGGTGTCAGCCATGTTCCCAAGAAGAGCAGTGTGGGTTTGACTATAAGTGAAAGTAGCTAATAATGAAAACCAGAAGGGAAACAGATCAAGATCAGAAAAATAAATACCATCTGGAATTGGTAACATGAAAGTAAAGTACTGCAATGAAATGCAGTTCCTGTGGTTAAGACGTGGGGTATTTAATTCATCTCAGTGAAATGCATTTATCTGTGACATTGTAGAGGAATGCACAAGCAAATTCAAGTAAAAACAATGTGAAGCAGTAGCAGAACTTTATTGTAGCTTGTAAACGTACAATAACAAAACTTACAACACTGTATTCTAAGAAAATGTTGATTTTCTTCAGAAATACCTCCCTTTGAGAGAAACAGACACTCAAAAGAGATTTGAAATTCAAAGTGAATCACATCTACTTTGCCTTTCCTAAACTAATCTAAGAATTTCTTAAGATATAAGCTCACAAGTTTTTTCCTGCAAAGTGAAAAAGATTAAACAAATGCCCTAGGTTCTTAGCAATATGTGATCTTTAATGTTGTACTTGACAGCTGTCAGGTGGTGGCATCAACAGCAGCTTGAGTCTGTTGCATCCTTTGCTTCTCATTCACACTCCTTCTTTTCCACTTGAGTGAGCCCACCAAAGCCGATTCCTTTGGGACCAAAATTTTTTGCGTAGCAAACTGCAAAAGGAGAAGAGTGGTAAATGGCATTCTGAATGTTTTCACATAGAGGTAAATGACTTCTGGCTTTAGTACTACTGCAAAATTAAAATTACTAAAAGGAAGGAAATCTGAATGCTTTCTTTCCCAAAGTGTCGACAGTGTGCAACTGGAGTCACATGTTTGAATTAAACAAAAGTCACATCTGGTCTTCTAAAAAAAACCCCTTAAAAACAGTTAATGGACTCTGTATTTAAGATGTAACATTTTCATTAAAGCTACTTTGCTACCTGAAAACACCCAGTAAAACTTGCTCTGCACAAGTAATACAGGTAGAGTAAGAAGTCAGAAATTTTACAAGGAGGTTAAAAGAGGATAGTTCAGAAACTATTGATGGTATTTTAAACCATTCCATTTCAGCTTTGTATTGCTAAGTGTATGCGTAACTGTTGGTCAGAACTCTGCTAAGGAAGTAATACAGATCAGCAGATTTCTGCAGATATGATAATTTGATGACATGCAGTTGTCAGACTGTACCTAAAGCCACAGAATTTAAGTATTCTTCTCCAGGTTTCCCTATCTATTCTAGCCTAGGATATAAAAACTTCGCATATATTTCCTCTTAAGCTGCTTCTAAGAGTCAGGTGAAATCTGTGAACTTTCTTGATCCTAGAAAAACATTTGGATGTATAATGTAGCATTAATGTAGAAGAATCTGAACTTTTACGGTCAAGAATTCAAATTAGGACCGTGACCTGACATGGATGACAACCTTTAGAGCTCTGTATCTTTGTGTATTTTTTACTTTCCTTTTAGTGAGTGAGATTTTGCAGGTACAAGAGACTGCCCAACAGATCTGGCCACTGTTCCTGTCTGAGAACAGAGGTGAGAGGGTGTTATATTTGTAGAAAAATTACAACTTGAAAAATTACATGTTTACAATAGAAGACGAAACTGCAATGTTACCTCTGCTTTCCAAAAGTTGTTAAAAAAAGATAAAATGCAGTTCTGTGGAGTTGTGAAGCCTGCACCAAGGTAAATCATGATGGCAGTGCTACGTCTGAAGAGACTCATTTTTGATTGTCTCAGTAACCCAGTTCAGCTCATTGCAGTTCTTACCCTTACAGTAGAGCTCTCCGTCTTTGTCTGTAACGTTTGTGGATTCTAAGCTCTTCCCACAAATAGCACAACGGAAGCATGTCTTATGCCAAGGCTGAGGAAATGAAGGCAATTCACTGTATATTACCAAAAGCACACAGCTGGCAGATACAAGGAGCAAACTATTTTTAAGGTGTGAAAAGGTTAGCATCATTTTGGTGGTCTTACGGCTTCCATTTTTAGGCATTATGGGTTAGTCTTTCTTCAATTACTTCATTATCCCATGTCAAGGTCTTATCCAGTCACTTTGTTATTAATGGAGGTCAGGTGAAAAGCAGGGAGATATATTCTTACTCTTGGTTTGGCCACTTTGTTTGATATGCAGAGATAATATTCTAGTGAGAGTTCCTAGAGCAGAGAGCTAGCATGTCTGTGAGACAGGCCTTTAGTTTTTCTATTTGCAGGATCTCTTTGATATATCTGCAATTGTCACTACTAATAATTGTTTAAACAGTAAATATCCCCAAAGATGGTAGTAGAATAACAGTGCTAGTAGAGTTAGCCTGAATAGAGACCAGGAGTTGTTCTTCAGACATAAACAAGATGTATAAACTTGAAGGCAACTTACAAAAAGCACATGGTTTTAAACCTTGAATGTACATCAGACTCCAACAATTTGCTGATTCATCCTCATGTTTTTTTTCAGTTGATACTGAGCAAAAACTTCAAATGTCAAGGACCCATTTGCTGTGGTTTCTCACCATTATAGAAGTGTGTTTTGTTTCTGGTCCTGTAGTAACTACTTACTTTTCCTCCTCCCATAATCTTCTCTGCAGCATACACAGATTTGCCACAACGGGGACATTTATCCACATCTACCATCATTTTGGCAAATTTTGATGGATTAGTTGGTGTAGAAGGGCAAGCAGGCTTCGGTGAGCCCCTAAAAGAGAAGTTTCCAGTGGTTTAAAATACTGCTTAAAATGTGGTTGTCATTCTAGAAATGTAATTTAATGATTTTATTTTTTTTAGGAGGTAAATATTAAATGACTGGTTTTAGACATGTGAAAGGGAAAAAAATTGAAAATTTCTATTGAATTCTCTATTGTGTGATTGAAAAGCTGATGTTGTAACCTGTTTGGGACTAAGTACACAGAGCTGATAGCAGCCACATGCAAAAAAGGTTACACTTAATGAAAAGTAAAAGTAGAAGAATGTTGTGTTACTGGGAGGCAAGAGGGAAAATAAAAGCAAAAGACTTCTCTGTTCCTTCTAACTGGCTGTCTCCTGGCACTCAGATAGTGGAAAACAGAAATAAGATGCTGCTGTTTCATTAGTCTGTTTGAGATTTGGACAGGGAACTTAGAAAAGGGGTTATTGACTTGCCTAGCGTCAAAAGCACATCAGGAGAGCAGCTTTGCTTTGTATTTCTATGCTTTGTGCTTTACGTCTTGGTGCACGCTGAAGCCTTTCACAGACTGGCTTTTAAATTATTGGCTTGTTTGGCTGCAACAGGTCACTGAATCTACAGGATCTGACAGTTTTGTGTGCAGAACTGTGCCCATAATGGATTAAAATCTTACAAGGAGCTACAGTTAAATGCATTATTTAAGCTTTTATTTCCTGCACAGAATATTGGTTAATTGGCTTCCCTTATACAAGAAGAAAGCATGACTGATTTGGGAATGTGCAGCTTTTGGTTCAGCTGTAGCAGTTATTTTTCTCCTTCCTAGTAGCTGGTGCAGTGCTGTGTTTCAGCTTTAGCCTCATGTCGTGGCTTAAGCTCAGCTGTAAATCAGCCACGCAGTCTCTCTCTCACTCCCCCCTGCCTATTCTTCCCTCCCCCCACTCCTGGAGGGATGGGGAGGTAACTCCCACGGGTTGAGATAAGAACAGTTTAGTAACTAAGGTATAACACAAATCACTGCTGCTACCACCAATAATAATAATGATAAGGGAAATAACAAGGGAAGAGAATACAGCCGCTCACCACCTGCCAACTGATACCTAGCCTGATCCAGCAGTGAACCAGCCCTTACAGGTAACTCTCAGTTTACATCCTGGGCATGACGTACTGTGGTATGGAATACCTCTTTGGTCAGTTTGGGTCAGGTGTCCTGTTTCTGCTTCCTCCTGGCTTCCCCTCCTCCCTGGCAGAGCATGAGACTCACAAAGTGCTTGGTCAGAGTAAACATTACTGAGCAACAACTAAAAACATCGGTGTTATCAATGCTGTTCCCAGGCTGAAAGTCAAAACCACAGTGCTGCACCAGCTGCTAAGAAGGAGAAAAACAACTGCTACTGCTGACCCCATGGATGGATAAGGAGCTCCTGAGGAAAATTCAAATGAAAAAAAGAGGCTTATAGAAAGTAGAAACAAGGACAGGCGGCCTGGGAAGAGCACAGGGATGTTGTCTGGGAAGCTAGGGACCAGGTTAGGAAAGCTAAGACCCAGTTAGAATTAAACTTGGCTAGGGATGTTAAGGATAACAGGAAGGCATGCTGCAGGTACGTAGCGAATAAAAAACAGACTAGGGAGAATGTAGGCCCCCTCAGGAAGCTCTCGGGTGAACTAGCTACACAGGATTTGGAGAAGGCTGAGGTTCTGAATGACTTCTTTGCCTCGGTCTTCTCACACCACCCAAGTCTTGGAAGGCAGATGCAGGGACTGTGAGAATGAAGACCTTGGGCCCACTGTAGGAGAGGAACTCGTTCGAGACCATCTTAAAAATCTGAATGTGCACAAGCCCATGGGTCCTGATGAAATCCATCCGCAGGTCCTGAAGGAGCTGGCGAATGAAGTTGCTAAGCCACTGTCCATCATATTTGAAAAATCATGGCAGTCAGGTGAAGTTCCCGATGACTGGAAAAAGGGAAATATAACCCCCATTTTCAAGAAGGGGAAAATGGATGACCCAGGCAATTACAGAGCAGTCAGTCTCACCTCTGTGCCTGGCAAAATCTTGGAGCAGATTCTCCTGGAAGGCATGCTAAGGCACATGAAAATCAACAGGGTGCTTGGTGACAGCCAGCATGGCTTCACTAAGGGGAAATCCTGCCTGACTAATTTGGTGGCCTTCTATGATGGGACTACAGAACTGATGGGCACGGGTAGAGCAGTTGATGCCATCTACCTGGATTTGTGTAAAGCGTTCAACACTGTCCCACACGACATCCTTGTCTCTGAATTGGAGAGACATCAGTTTGATGGATGGACCACTGGGTGGATAAAGAACTGGCTGGATGACCGCACACAAAAAGTTGTGGTCATTGGCTCAATGTCCACCTGGAGACCAGTAACAATTGGTGTCCCTCAGGGATCAATGTTGGGACCGGTCTTGTTCAACATCTTCGTTGCTGACATGGACAGTGGGATTGAGTGCGCCCTCAGCAAGTTTGCCGATGACACCAAGCTGTGTGGTTCGGTTGATACGCTGGAGGGAAGGAATGCCATCCAGAGGGACCTTGACACACTTGTGAGGTGGGCTGATGCCAACCTCAGCAACTTTAACCATGCCAAGTGCAAGGTCCTACACCTGGGTCGGAGCAATCCCAGGCACAGCTACAGCCTGGGCAGAGAAGAGATTCAGAGCAGCCCTGCAGAGAAGGGCTTGGGGGTGTTGATCAATGAGCAAATGAACATCAGCTGGCTTCAGTGTGTACTTGCAGCCCAGAAAGCCAACCCTATCCTGGGCTGCATCAAAAGCAGCATGACCAGCAGGTTGAAGGAGGTGATCCTGCCCATTTATTCTGCTCTCGTGAGACCTCACCTGGAGTATTGTGTGCAGTTCTGGTGTCCTCAACATAAAAAGGACATGGATCTGTTGGAACAAGTCCAGAGGAGGGCCACGAGAATGATCAGGGGACTGGAGCACCTCCTGTATGAAGATAGGCTGAGAAAGTTGGGGCTGTTCAGCCTGGAGAAGAGAAGGCTGCTTGGAGACCTCATAGCAGCCTTCCAGTATCTGAAGGGGGCCTATAGGGATGCTGGGGATGGACTCTTCATTAGGGACTGTAGTGATAGGACAAGGGGTTATGGGTTAAAACTTAAACTTAAGGGAAGTTTAGATTGGATGTAAGGAGGAAATTCTTTCCTGTTAGGGTGGTGAGGCACTGGAATGTGTTGCCCAAGGAGGTTGTGAATGCTCCATCCCTGGCGGTGTTCAAGGCCAGGTTGGACGAGGCCTTGGGTGATATGGTTCAGAGCGAGGTGTCCCTGCCCATGGCAGGGGTGTTGGAACTTGCTGATCTTAAGGTCCTTTCCAACCCTAACTATTCTATGATTCTGATTCCTTAATGCATGGACCAACCCCTATAAAGCTTCTGAGTACATCCGGTCCATGATGTCAGGCTCTTTCAGAGCAGGAGAGGCTATGTGCAGTGTTCACACTTGTCAATAACCTGGGCAACAGTGTCCATTGCTAAGTCCACCCCTCGATCATGAGTCCATCTCTGTGTTGCATCTCTGCCCCGATTGCTTGAAGTGTCTTGGGCCTACCAGGCCCAAAATAATCCACCCTTCCCTTCATCAGTTTCTGCAGCTTATTGCTGGAGACTCCATACAGCTGCCTTCCATCTCTGATGCTTCCAGAGTACTGGAGGGTCCCAGTGGACTAGATACTCACCCATATTGTCCCACACACCCATTCCACTCATGACTGTCCAGCCTTGGGTAAAACCTCTTGGTCCTCCTATACTGTAGTCTAACCCTAGACAAAACTCAAGTTAAGCTCTGCTTAACTTTTGAGATCAGACAAAATGGTGGTGGGTAAAACACACTCTGTGTGTGTGCCAACATGCTGATCCCCATCACAATCAGCAGGCAGGTCCCAAGGATACCCAAAGGCCATTCGAAACCTTCAGAACTCTCAAACGATGCTGCTGTACTTGTCACTGGGGCTGGTGTAGCTGCTGTGCTTGCCGGCTCTCCCACCACCAGCTTCTCTTTTCCTGAGTCCAGATCTTCCTCCTCTGCCTTGCTGGGAAATGCTGCGGGGTCTCCTGCATCCTCCACTTGTTCTGGGTGCCTGAGACTGGACCCAGCTGAGGCATCCAAAGGTGGTACTTGCACTCTGCATCCTCCTGGGGCTGGGGCTTGGCAAGCAGCTGCCAGGGGATGCTCTCAGCCGCTATGGGGCTGGGCTCAGCCATGGGGCTCCTCTGCCACCTCCTCCTGCTGCTCACCAGCTGCCTCCTTGCCCTCCTTGACCACCCTGGTCTCCTTCATCAGCAGCTGCCTCCTTCCTGGCCTCTGGCCCCACTCCCGCCACTGCTTGTCCCCGGGGCCGCTCTCCCAGGCTGCTTTGGCCACCGCCGGCTCCTGGGGCCGCTTCCTTTCGGCTCCCTGCAGCCTCACGAAGCTGGAAGTGAGGATGAGGGCCAGGACAGTGAAGAGCAGTGGGACGGCCAGGTTCATCCTGCCCTGCTGCTGGAGCCCGCCCATATTACAAGTCATTACCATAAACTACAGTGAAACAAGAACTTTAGCCCAAGCACCTTATCTGATAAACACCGACACAGCAAATACCAGCTGTAAGTAAGGTACAACATGCTGAAACTGTGAGATAAAGAGCAACAACTTTGAGAGCCAATAAATCAGCATTGTGACGAGTGACTATTAATCCGGTCAGATCTGTCATTATCTCAACCCTTCATGCCCCACATTGGGCACCACAAAGGACTGTTGTAGTTTAAACCCAGTCAGTAACCCAGAACCATGTAGCCACTCACTATTCCCCCTCTTCCTCCCGCTTGCTCTTGGAGAGATGGGGAGGAGAATCGAAAGAACGTAACTCCCACGGGCTGAGATAAGAACAGTTTAGTAACTAAGGTATAACACAAATCACTACTGCTACCACCAATAATAGTAATGATAAAGGAAATAACAAGGGAAGAGAATACAATACCACCCACCGAACGATACCTAGCATGACCCAGCAATGAACCAGCCCTTCCAGCTAACTCTGTTTACATCCTGGGCATGGCGTGCTGTGGTATGGAATACCTCTTTGGCTAGTTTAACCTCTTTGGCTAGAGTAAACATTTGAGCAGTAACTAAAACATTGGTGTTATCAGCTCTGTTCCCAGGCCAACAGTCAAAAACACAGCGCTGCACCAGCTACTAAGAGGGAGAAAAAATGACTGTTACTGCTGAACCCAGGACACCTGAGAACAGTGCTGATAACACACCAATATTTTAGTTGTTGCTCAGTAATGTATAGTCTGACCAAGGACTTTGTGAGCCTCATGCTCTGCCAGGGAGGAGGGGAAGCTGGGAGGAAGCAGAGAGAGGACACCTGACCCAAACTGGCCAAAGAGGTATTCCATACCACAGCACGTCATGCCCAGTATATAAACTGGGGGCAGTTACCTGGAAGGGCAGGATCGCTGCTCAGGTCTGGCTGGGTATCGGTCAGCGGGTGGTGAACAGTTGTATTGTGTTTCACTTGTTTATTGGGTTGTTTTTTTCCTTTCCTCTTTTAGTTTCATATTCTCTCCTCTTGTTATTTCCCTTCTCATTACTATTATTGGTGGTAGCAGTAGTGATTTGTGTTATACCTTAGTTACTAAACTGTTCTTATCTCAACCTGTGGGAGTTATATTCCTTCATTTCTCCTCTGCATCCCTCTGGGAGCTTGGGGGAAAAAGTGGGGGGAGTGAGCGAGCGATTGCATGTTTCTGACTTACCTGCTCAGCTTAAACCACAACAGAATCATAGAAAAATACTACAAAAATGCTCTGTCGGAGAGGACTATGTGCTTTTGGAAGACAGTATCCCATTAGAATTCCTTTGTTCAAACATCTCAGTGTGTTTGTAAGTTTGTGTGTTTTGGCTCTTAAGCCACAGGGGATTTTGAAGTGTTATTTCCTTCACTGAGAGGAGAGCTAACAGTATGTAGTAGTGTGATTATTTCTGTAGCAGTAAAACTTCACTGACTTTTAGCTTCTGACAGGAGGAAAAAAAATAATTCTTATGTTCTGTGATGAACGTGACATTACAACAACTGTGCTACTAATGGTAGATTGCAATTGCAGTTAATATTTATGCCTATGGTGATATATAAGGGCCAGGAAAAGCACCAGCAAAAGGTGCCATCGGTGGGATGTAACTCACTGTTGCAGATTCAAGCCCAGATGGTCACCAGTATCAGTGCTGAGACATCCTGCCCCTTGTCCAAAGCCAATTCCTTTGGGACCATATTTTCTCCCGTAACAAGTTTTGCAGTAGATTTCAGATTCATGCGCTGCCACTGTGGTACTGTCCAGAGCTTTCCTGCAAGCCACTGAGAGCAAGAGAAAAAAAGAGGCATTTTTATACATCAGCATTTTCAAATTGGAATTCATAGGGTTCAGAGTAATGACAATTAGTGTTTAGTTTTGCTTATCTTTATAAATACAGGAAAATAAGATATCCTGTAGTCAGTCTAGAACTTCATTGAGCTGCTGCTGAAGTAGTTGTGCATGCGCTCAGTGTGTTCTTTTACCACTTTGAAGTTCTACTTTAACCCTAGGAAAATCATGGGCTCACCAAGACAATTTGGATCTTGTGAAGGTGAAGATGGATTTGAGAGCATCATCCTAAACTCCCAACCTTAAAAAAAAAAGGCAAAAAGGAGGTTGCAGGGGTGTTGATTCTGCAGTGCATCTGCATCTTTTGAACTAGTCACTTTGAGTCTGTGGCACCTTTCTCATCCCAGCCCATGCTGGCTTATGTGGCATGTTTCTAAAAGAGGATATAAGGTCCAGGGTCAAGCAGGACATGTGTTTTTATTTATTTGATGAGTTGTGTAAGGCAAAGCAATGATCCCAAGTAACTGGTGGGCTCTGCTCTGGTAGTCTTCCTCCAGGAGGGCAAGAGTACAATTACAGCTGTTTCAAAACCAGAGACCTCTTCCTAGTCATGTTCTTATACAGAGATACTTCTTGGCTTAGCTCACTAGGAGCAGCCCAGGAGACTTTTAAACAGGAGGTGCCATAGGAATGCCCAGCATTTGTAATGAAATACAAGTTACATCTTCTACAACACTGCTTGAAGCCAAGCCGCAGCTTGGAGAGACTGAAAGTTAAATGAGTGCTAACAGCTGCTTATTTGGGGAGCTCAACAAGAAAGTATCCATGTTCTGGGAAACACAAGCTGCACCCAGAGCTAAGCAGCATTGCTGAGGTGGGTCTTGCACATGGTTATTCTACTCTGAAACATGGTCAGCATTTAGAGGCTGGATCTGTTAGCACTCCAGGGGGATCTCCTTGCTGCTGATGGATACAAAGTGGACAGAAACGAACGGCAAAAAAAATGGTAGTTTCACTCCTCATCTGCCTGGTGTGCACTGTGTGCTGCAGTGTCCTGGGTACTCAGCATGAGGTAGTTCCCACCCCACTGCGAGAAGGAGAAGCTTTTGGTTCAGAGGGCTTCTAGGGAAGTCAGGGTTCGTAGTATGCTTAGAAATTGAAATCTCAACACTCCGAAATCGTTCACTGTGTCAATGGTGTTTGATATGGGAGAGAGCAGAATAAGCAAAAACTCTCTCTCCACCTCCCTTTTAACCAGTATGTGCCCCGCAGAGCGCATTCCAGTCATGCACAGGCTCTTGAGAGCTGGTAAGTGAAGCTGCTTATCTCACATAAGCCACAGAAACCAGTGAAATACAGAAGTATTGGCAGTGGTCGAAAGTTCAAGCTCTTGCAGAGTTAGGTGTCTGATTAGTCCCTTTCCCCCCATGCTTATTTTCACTGTCCTGCTGTGAGTCTAAAGTCACCCTCAGCAGGGAATTTGAGCTGATACTGGAGCCTTTGCAGTTTTAATTCTATTACTCTGTGTGTGTGTGTGTGTTTGGGGGAGATAATTTGCAAGGACCTTTACAGTTAATAGAAATAAAACTAAGGGCTTCTGTAAATGTGTGAACCTGATCTCGTCATGCTACAGTCTCGTCTGCTTTGAGATGGTAATTGTGTTTGCTAAGGGAGTTAAGGAATGATGGAAACTCTAGGAGTAGATAAAGCGTTTCTATTTCTGACACTTTAGGGATACAGTATCAATTCGCCACAACAGATGGAGCAAAAGCCCTTGGAAGTGCTACTGTTGAAATAACTTTGAGACCTGTCATCTGCCAATAGATACTGTTGGTGAGCTGGCACCAAGAAGTTTCAGGTTAATGATATGGATCCTGCCAAATGTCCATCACACCTGCAGACTGAGTAAAAAGGTGTCAGGGAAACAAGGTAGGCAAACAGCAATCTCATGTTTGGGGGGAAAAACTGTGGAGTGAAGAGAGTGTGATTTATAGTTTAGTTTCTCTGGTTCTTACTGTGTTCACAGGTTGGTTGGACTCATTCATAATTTTGTCCAAATCGAACTTCTTGTTTGTTCTTGTTGAAAACCACGTGGTGTGGTTTGTGTGTCTGCTCTAATAAAATGTAAAATATCAAATATCTTTGAAATATATTTGAGATAAAAATCTAGAAAAGTCTGGATAGGTTAAGTGTTTGTGTACCTGAGATTAGGCTGGGGAGGATTCTTTTTGAAATCCTAGAACTGGCTAATTGAAAAGCCTATGAACATGATATGATACTGAGTTATCCAGAGCTGCTGATTAGTGTGTGAATCATGGGGCAAATAAATCCAATTAACATACCTCTCATACGCCATCTGGGCTTAGATACATCTTTAGCTTCTGACCTTAAACATACTTCTGCTGGGAATCCTTTTTTTAGTATCTAACCTATTTAATTCACACTTACGACTACCAGGGGCCAACCAAACAAACTCCCCAAAACCCCCAACCAACCAAAACCAACCAACAAAAGAAAACCCACAACAAACCAAACAAACAGCTGGTATGTATGTTGCTGATCATGAATCACTAGGAAAAAAACAGTTATGCTAAGAATGAAGCTTAAACTTGTTCCAGTATTAGGAGGGAGAGAAATGTTATTAACTATGCCCTATTAGGACAACTGTTTATATTAGACACTAGAGAGTCTACTCATTTTTTTCCTGATGTATCATTTTCTAGTGTTTAGTAAAGCACGAGCATCATTTAAAGCTCTTTTCATAAATGCTGCAGTCGTGTCCCTTTCCCTGTAGTTTCTCTGATACCCAGTATTAATTGCTATAGTCAGCACATGGAAGCAATAAGAAGTCTCTCGGTTCAATAAAACCGAGCCTTTTTAACCATTCTGTAAGCACCAAGCTGAACGTTGTCAATTAACTGAAAACTTCTTGAGGAAATTCTTTCTTAGTGTTTTAGGCATCCCTTGCAGGGTACTTACAGAAAGGCAAAGACAGCTTTAGGGTGTCCTTCAGACTGAATTCTGCATAGCACTATACCATGCTGTCTGGTCATGTTGGGTCAGTCTCATGCCTCCAAAATGAGAAAGGAGGGTGAAAAACTGGATTCAGTGGCTTCCAAACTGTCATGCTGGAATTCATACTGCTAAATCTCAAGTACTACATCTCAAGCATTGCCTGCAAAGTAAACTATTTAGCTATCTTTAGTTCTTATCTAGATAATGGCTTTAAGCTGACAGAGGGGAGATTTAGATTAGGCATTAGGCAGAAGTTCTTCCTTGTGAGGCTGGTGAGGTGATGGTACAGGATGCCTGGAGAAGCTGTGGCTGCCCCATCCCTGGCAGTGTTCAAGGCCAGGTTGGATGGGGCTTGGAGCAACCTGGTCTAGTGGAAGGTGTCCCTGCCTGTGGCAGGGGGTTGGAACTGGGTGGACTTTAAGGTCCCTTCCAACCCAAACCAGTCTGGGATTGTTTGCTGCAAAGGGCTAGAAAATGGGGCTTGATTACTGAGAGCTGCTTTGGGTGGCATGATGGCATTTCAGAAAACTGGCTGCTGCGTTTAAAAAGAGATATGGTAGTTTTCCATCCTTCCATGACTAAAAAGATGGGAAAGGGCTTTTACCTTTAGGTTTCTAGAGAGTGCCAGACCAGAATCCATCTGACTGTGCTGTACTTCGGGTAGGATGACTAACATGTGACTGCCCTCTACTTTGAACTTCCCCAGAAGTAAGATGCAAAGCTTCACAGAACTTTCTCTGTGTGAAATCCAGTGTGATGCTGGTTGCTTCCACCATCCTGTATGTTGCTCAGGGTGTTTAAACTGCTGTAGGCATCCCATGAGCAAACGCATTAAATTGGGGAACTATGAAACTTCTTTATTGCATGCAGAGTAGTACAAAAGCAAATTCACTGTCTTTAATGGGAACTTTTTGCAGAGCTATGTGAATACGGTGGAGTTAGAAGGGCGTAGCCCAGCTTACTGCACAGGAAGCATGTCTTGTGGAAACTCCTTCCATTGCACTGGATTTCCTCAGCATGGTACACAGTCTTTTCACAGGCACCGCATTTGGCTCCACCTCCCCAGTTCGGCATCTTTATATCTGAAGAGTAGCCTAGAAAATCAAATTATATCATTAAATACATCACCAGAAGTGAATTATTTAAAAAACAACTGTCCTGGGGGGTCCTTTTCTGTAAATAAGGGTATTCCTTAGCTCCGTATATCATGATGGCAAATACGTGAAAGGTGTGTCTGTGAAAAGGTGCCAAGATCACTCAAACCTCCTCTGGAGAGGTGGATCTAGCATTTATTTTCCAACAAATTATCATTTTCTTTCGATTCTGCCCTCCCGTGTACCCCAGGGTAGCCTTTTCCCCTCTGTTTTTTGCTCTATGTGTGTTGATCTGGTTTGGCGAGGAAATTTTTAGTGGAGGTGAGCAGTCATTTTGAAGCATTACAGGAGTTTAAGCAAACATGTGGGCAGTATTTGGCACTGTTTTCTACAGAAGAGCATTCTACTGAGAGTCTCTGCTAAGAGACAGCAGGTAGAACTATTTGTTCCTCCCAAAGCAAGTGCTAGTGCATCCAGTGCCACATGAGCTCCCTTGGTGACAGGTATAGAGGTAAACTTTGGTGTCAGTTATGATATCATTTTACACAATTCAAACCTGGATAATTCCACCTTGAAGTTTCACGGATGTCCAATGTTATTTCGGAGGACATATTAACAGAAACAAGCTCTTTCTTGCTTTCTTGCATGCAACAGCTTCAAGATCACTGTGCTGCATAGCCATTATAAACAAATAATAGCTGGGTTCCTGAGGTGCTTAAGGTTTTTCTTTGCCGATTGTTTTTAACTATCAGGGCAGTGGTTACTGTTCAGTCCTTGTCATTCCAGTTACTGTTGGAGTGACTTGCCCAAGGTCACACAGGAGGGCACGGTGGGAGCCAGCAGCCCAGCTCGAGTCCCCTGACCTAAGTGAGTGCCCTTCCTGATGACTGTGCTATCACTCACCTGAAACAACCCTAACCTATGGTTTGCTCTTCTGATTTCTTGTTTGAGTCACCGTTTCTGGAAAGACTGGGACGTCATCTTGTCACCTGCACGTCGCATTATCGGGTTGTTCCAAGCTGCTGGCACAAGCTTTCCTTCTCCTTCTTGGAAAACCAGTCACCTTCTTTTTATAGTTCTTTTGAAGCCTGCTTCTGCTGTTTGTGTTTGATTAAATTCACCAGAAGACAGTCTTTACTAAGAGAAGGATTTTGAATGTGAATCAGGCCTGGTAACAGAGAATTTTCTTCTGAGGTTGAGAGAGGGGAATTTATCACAGCAGTGCTCTAACACAGCTACTCTTTTCAGTGGCTTGGATTTCAGTCTAACATTTGATGATTTCTGTACATTGGATTCTAATGTCTCATGTTTATCATCCTCTTGGAGACTTCTGCACCGTATCTTGTCAATTTCAGCCTGAAATGAACAAATTCTACATGCTGGCTCTGCAGGCTGGACCTGAAGGTGATACTTTCTGGCATCTAACATTAAAAATTGTGCCGTGGTCTATACATATTATAGGCACATTTGCTGCCTTCCAGCAAAAGGAAGGTAGCATACGAGTGTGTGCACACAGTGAATCAGTACTGCTGAAGACATACATAGATACATGCTCATGTTTTACAATCAGTGTTTGAGAACAGTGGGGATACCAGCATATCCAAACATCTTCACTGTGGTTTTAGTATATCCTTAACCCTGTATAATTCCATTTCACTGTTGGGGCTGTTACCTGTGGTAGGCAGCATACCTGATGTCCTCATGTGAGATCCAACCTGTTCTCCTCTTTGTAAGGCTAGTTTAGGCTCAGCTGAACAACCTCCCTGGCTCATACAACAAGTCCTCTGCTGTCATAGAGCATTCTTCCTCTCCTTCAGGCCCTATCTGCTCTCTTGAGAGGCTGTTCACAAGCTCAACTGCTCTGACAGCCAGAAAATGGTAATACATAAAGGAGAAGAAAACTCAGCTTTTCTCTAACTCTGTTTATTTGTAATGCAACAAGTAAGGAGCAAAAATAACCACACACAGGGAACACACTGAGTTTTGTCCCTTCTTACTAAGAGAAGGCGTTACTCAACAGCACTGTTAAAATCTTTTTTTCCATCGTTTAAATGGGAGATGAAGGAATGGGGAGAAACCTTTCATGTAGATAAAATCTGATTGTCTCATTCCACCATTCTAGCTTTTCTCCTATTTTATAGTACTTTTGTTATGTGCCATTTTTTATTTTTTTGATTAAAGTAATTCAAGTAATGCATTGACTGTTCCAAGAGAAGGGAGATTTAAAAGAGATAAATCAGTTTGGTGGTGCTTTCTTGAATATTCAGATGAGGGTTTTGTGTTCACAGTGTTCCCTTTCAAACCACATTTCCAGTCAGCTCCCTGCCCTGCTGAAGCAGCACCGACAGCTGCCTGGGAGGAGAGCACGTTCTACATCCAGTCTCTGTCAAACTGCTTCTGCTGGTTTAGTTCCCTTCAAACACACACCAAGCATCTTAGTCTGCGGCAAAGGGATACTTGTTGGAAAGCAGCTCTAATTACATCATTAGCTGAAGGGAAAAAATAACTTCTGAATAAAGGCTGATAGTGCGCGATAGTGAACCTTGTGCTGTTACAGGCTGGGGTTAGAGCTCTGAAGAGAGCCATTGCTCCTGGGGCTAATTATGGCAACATGACTGGGCATGCATACACATTTTCCATGTTTTTCTGGAATCACCTGATGGGAAGCTGTAGGAGAAAGAAGTCACAGTGACAACATTCCCATGAGGATCCCAGTGTAAGAAGGGCAACGTGTGCTTGGATTAACTGCTAGGTGAGGAAGCAGGGCAGGTCCCTGCTCCTCATGTCATTTCTGTGCTCATCTATCCAAACACTGAACTGCAGGGGCCATCCCTGGGGGATGCTGCCTGTGCAGCAAGCAGCGTTACTACAGGCAAGTAAATTCCATAGGGGATGTGGCACTCAAGAGATTACTCATCTAAATTATAATGGTGGATAAAGTGAAAATAGAACTCCATCTCCCGTTTGTCATAAGAAAAAATACACCTAAAATCTTGATTTAATTTAATTTCACAGGGTGTCACTATGTAAATCTCCTTGAAATTCCCTGACCGTTGTTGTCTTAATCTGGTTACCTTGCGGTCATTGCTAACCACAGGGTATACAGTGAGGAGTAGAGTGGACCCATTCTAAATATATCAAGTGCATGACAGGGAAACTTGCATGTGTCAGTATGGCAACATTTGCAGGCACTTGCTGTACTCTTAAACTGGAAGAGTGTTTTGGGCTTGCTCTAATAATACGCAGCAGCTTGTATCATTCCCCTTCAAAATGCAGCTGCTACCGGAGCAGAATTTACACACAGTGGATGTGCAGGCAAGGATAGGTGCTCCTCCTTATTTAGGGCTTGTGACATTGCTCTACAGGCCAGCCTCAGAACAAGGGAGCCTTTGAAGTGCTTCTGTGCTCCTGCACAGGCACGAAGAAAAGTGGGCTGTGAGTCGTAGCATACAGATCTGGATGTCACTGATCTGTCAGAGTGTCTCTAATCAGGGTGCTATTGGTAAGGATATATTTAGATCCATTGATCTAAGTGGGAAGTGGATGCCTGATGTAGTTGTGTAGAGGAGTAAAAGGCAGCGCCAGTGCTAGGCAGTGTGGTGCAGGTGAAAAAGATGCTAAAAGCAATTCTGGTATTTCCTTGCCAAGCATGAGGTTTTTCCCTTCAAAACGCCTACATGTGTGATAGTCTAGAGCTCAGGTTGTATCTGAATGGACTATAGAAGTCCTGTATGGTGTGGGTGGGAGGATTAGCTCAGGGGACCACAAGTGCTACAGAATGGCTTTGAAGGATAAATGGAATGAGAAATGTTGATTCTTGAACACTGGTACAAATGGTAGTAAAAGTGCTGGATCAGGACCGATAGCCTGGCATCCCTCTCTGGTTTAGTCCCAGCTAGCTGTTTGGTGTAGACTCGGTTAGAATCATAGAATCCCAGTCTGGTTTGGGTTGGAAGGGACCTTAAAACTCATCCAGTTCCAACCCCTGCCATGAGCAGCGACACCTTCCACCAGACCAGGTTGCTCCAAGCACCGTCCAACCTGGCCTTGAACACTGTCAGGGATGGGGCAGCCACAGCTTCTCTGGGCACCCTGTGCCAGTGCCTCACCATGCTCACAGGGAAGAACTTCTGCCTAGGAGCTCATCTCAATCTCCCCTCTGTCAGGTTAAAGCCATTCACCCTTATCCTGTCCTTACAAGCCCTTGCTCAAAGCCCCTCTCCAGGTTTCTTGTTGCCCCTTTAGGCACTGGATGCTGCTCTAGATTCTTCCTGGAGCCTTCTCTTCCCCAGGCTGAATGAGCCTAGTTAAAAGTGTAAGAATACCAATTTTTTACCTAATAAATAACCAATAATAATATCAAATCAAATCACTGTCTACACTGAAACGCAAGTATCAAGGCCACGCTGAAAATTCTTTTCCCAGCTCCAGTCTTTGGGAAGTGCCAGTGCAGCCAGGACTTCATTGTGGTATCTAATCATAGCAATGCTGCTGACCTGTCCTGTGACCACCAGTGACTCTTCAACTGCCCTTAGTGTTACTGGTCTCTCCAGCAGCGTGGGGATAAGGATATAGATCTTCTTTTTTCAAAACAGTAATAAATGCTTCTATTGTTTTTTCCCTGCAACCACTGCTCACTCTTTTTTTACCTGTATGTCTCTGCAGCAGAAAGCACAATTCCTGACACTGCATGTCATTAAACCTGACTATGGTTTTGCCCAAATCTAATCCATCACAGCAAGCACTCTCTCAGCAGAATAGATTCCCAACAGAGAGAACATTTGTCTTTGAAGATGGAGCTTGTTTAATGAAGACATAATATTATTAGGTATTTATAATTATAGAATTATATAGTCATAGACTGGTTTGAGTTGGAAAGGACCTTAAGATCATCTAGTTCCAACACCCATCTCTTCTATTCCAGTGCATTCAATGGCCTGTGGATACAGGTACACTTTAAGATTACTAAATAGTGTTGTACATTTAGCCTCTACCACCATCTCCTAATAACTAGCATGGTTCCTTTATTTCTGCAGTAAACCAACACATAAGAGATGTGAATTTCCACACTGACACAAGGAAGGAAGTAGTTTCATTGACACTGGTCAGTCCAAGTTACACGAGCCCTTTTGAAACAAAGATTTTAGATGCCTTGATGTGAAGCACAAGTTGTGTAAAGCTGATAGAAAACCCAGAGTCCTGTGTCTGAGTCCTTTGCTTTCACCTCTGCCCTTCCAGGTGATGTATTAATTTATTGCATGGCGATGCCACATTTCTTGTCAAACCTCCTTGATCTCCAGTTTTTCAAGAATTTGAGATAGCACTTGCAAAAAATGCATCCTGGCACTAGAACAAGGTACTTGGTTCTGACTTAAAATACAAGGACCCCGCACACGTTTGCATGTAACCTGCTCAGAGTTCAGTTGATCTGCTGAATCCTGCTGCACAGAAGACCCATTCTTTTTTATAGACCTAATCCTGGGATGTCAGCTTTTACTTTTTCTTCCATAAGATCCTTCTCTAAACCCTTATCTGTGCACTAAGTCTTCTAAGTGCCAAACAAAACTGTTACAGACTGAAACGGTGCCATGATAATTGAGATCACTAATGAGGATCCCCACAGCCCTGGTCTTGCAACACTAGTGGCTACCCAACAGGCTGAGAAGCAGTTGGCTACTCCAAGCCTTAACTACTGCTCTCAGCTCTGTAGCAGTCATATTTCTGTACTATACCTACACATTTATCTTTGTCAAGCAACGAGTTTTTTCTACCACCTGTTAGGAAAAAACAAAGAATATGCAAGCCCTTATATTATTCTTGATAGAACCCAACATATCTACTTACCAGAGTTGCCTGATGTTCCTCCTTATTTTCTTAGGCCTTGAAGGGTTTGAACACTAGGGTTTCCGGCACTCTTTAAATGCAATGGCCACCGCTATCGGCCCTATAAGCTGGAAGGGGAGGGAAATGAGAGAGAGTTTCAGGGATCTGAGCAATGCCATTGCTATCACGAAGCTGAAAATAACCTCTGACAAAAGCCTGGCATTTCATTACCCTGATGTCCACTTGTGAGTAGGTGGACAACAATGCAGCCCCTCAGATTACACTTAGAGGGCATTCCAAACTGCAGTCGAATAGATCAGAAATAAAGATTCAAGTTGTAGAGCTGTTGCTGCATTGCTTAAATGTGAATCATAAAAGTAATGGCTCCTGAGATGAGGATTTAGTCAGAAAGGGTCATGCTGCCAAAAGTAAATTTCCAAAATAGTTATTTAAAAAGCCCCAAAATCAACAACCAAAAACTGTTTGTAGGAACCTCTAAAACTCACTTTAAAAACAAGAATTTCCCTCTGATCTGATAGATACGACTAGTTCATCTTTTAGGGTACAGAGAACTACTCTTTTTACTCTAATCCTTTTACTGTTTAATTCTTACTGGTTTTACACATTAAGGTGGCTAGTACTATATGTGATGTTTAGCATCTCTAATCACTGCAGCTATATTGTCCATGCCTAACTGAGCCTCCTTGGAAATGGATGATTCTGCAGGCACGTTAGAGAGCTGGACAATAATAAAATGAATAAAGTTCACTTCTACAAGGTTTTATTGTAAGCACTTTAAAGATTTATAGGATCTAAAGATTCAGAAGCTAATTCTCATTTTCTAAAGGGACACCTGAATGTAGCAGCTTTGTTTGGTGTCATGGACTTTGCTGTGTGTGGAAGTGCAGAGCACCTGCAGCCCATGGGTTAAACACCACAGGTCTGAAGCTGAGAGTCTCCACTCTGGGGCTTTCACAGGAGCATAAGGAAATTAGATATCAAATCCATGTCAGACTTTGGTATTTTAGGGGTTTGGCTGAGACTACTTTACAACTCTTAGGAGGCTAAATATCCATTACCTGTTGAGTCCAGCAAAGATTTTATAACACAGAGACAGGTCCTTGATGTAAAGTTGAAGGACTACTTTTCCCTGCAGCAGGAGAGCTGGATTCCATCTGTTCTTGGTCCTCACTGGATAGTAAATGGAACTCTTCTGCCTGGGTCAAATAAGGCTAAATGCAGAGGTGACAGTGCAACGTAAGTGGTATGAGCGTTTCTTATAAGACAGCAGTGAGGAGGAGTTGAGGCAGGACTGAGCTTGCTGCTGAAGGATGGAAAGCACTAAGGAGCTTGTAACCATTTAGTGTTTGCACCCTTGGTGATTTATCATAGAATCTCAGACTGGTTTGGGTTGGAAGGGACCTTAAAGCTCACCCAGTTCCAACCCCCTGCCACAGGCAGGGACACCTTCCACTAGACCAGGTTGCTCCAATCCCTGATCAACCTGGCCTTGAACACTGCCAGGGATGGGGCAGCCACAGCTTCTCTGGGCAACCTGAGCCAGGGCCTCAGCACCCTCACAGGGAAGAATTTTGGTCCACTGTGGTTGTTTTGACCTGGGATTAGAAGAACAGACTTGAAAAATGCATCTGGAGCATACACATGCATAAATTTTTGTATTGCTGATGTAGCGAGAATGTAATGTTTTCTATAAACTAAAGGTAGGCATTAAAAACCACTGCTCACTGAATTGGAACCAGTGTACCAAAAGCAGAGCAAGCCTGAGCATCACAGGGACTTTCCTAGAGCTTGGTAATGAAGCACATCGGGTGCGCAGGACACATTCAAGGGTGGGTGAGGCAGGTGGGAAAGCAGCAGGCTTAGCTAGTCAGAGTGAGATGCAGGTCTTCTGGGGAATGGGATGCTTTCCGCAGAACAGCAGTAGTTTTTCGGCCTGGAAAATGACCAAGTGTTATAAAGCCCATGTGAAAATTAATGGACTGTATTTTGCCAGGAGCTGGGGGATGCCAGGCAGTGAGTCAGGCAGTATGTTCAGCATAAAGCAGTTTAAGAGCATTTCTCCAAGCATAATTGCTGTGGTTTCTTATTTGGTCAGCTTTCAAAAATGAAAGGTTAGTTGTTTGTTTCCTTTGAGTAATGTAAGTTACTTTGAGTAATGTAAGTTACTTTCAACTCTGCTTCTATACCTGTAGAATGAGAATGACAGCAGATGTAAAGATCAATCAATTCCCACTTTGGAGAATGGAAAAGAATCTACTCACCAATGAAGTGAGAATTCCTCCATTTGCCGGTTTTTATTCTTCTCTCCTCCTGCTTTATGAGTATTTAAATTGTGATCCTATTGCCAGGGGTATTCTGTCCTATCATTTTACATTATTAAAGAGCAAGCCAGTTGGTTTTGCTGTCATTAACTGTTTAAACTATGGCTTTTTATCCAGTTCAAGCCTGATTCTCAGGCATCGTTGGCATTCCTACAGCCCTAATGTGGACAGCCAGGCACATCTCACCTGGGAAGGCAGCTACCCTGGGTTTTCCTTTAATTTGTTGGTTACTCTTGGTCCTGTGAGTGACAGCTGTGTGAGGAGGCTTCATCTTTCTTCCTTCAGCACAGAAGAGACTGCTGTACTTACTTAAACTCAGTTGTTTTACCTTAACCTATTTGATATGAAATTGCCAGAGGGCTTGGAGGTTGACACTGATCTTGGCTGGAAAGCAGAAACACAAAGCAGACTTTGTATAGTGTGGGTATGTCCAAGGAACAGGGGGCTCCCTCCTTCAAGAAGTCATACCTTACTGTGTGCAACAGTGAATAGCTAGTGCGTCAGTAATGGCACCTCGGAGTTCTGCCTCAAACCTTTTTAGATGGTTATAAAGGCCAAGGTAAAGTGTTACAAAAGCTGTCTCTTGGGCTTGAGGACTCCCTACAGTCAAGAGTAGAGCGTAGCATGCACCTGGCTCTAGCTCTGAGTTTAACTGGAGGCCAAGTAATGTGTTTGTCTTCAAATATTATTGTCTAATATATATTAGCTTGAGGCCCAAACCACGTAACTCCTCAAATCCTGTGACATTTGGGCAACACTTTCCAGAATCACAGAATGTTTTGGGACCTTAATGGAAGGGACCTTAAAGCTCATCCACTTCCAATCCCCTGCCTTGGGCAGGAACACCTTCCACTAGACCAGGTTGCTCCAAGCTGCATCCGACCTTGCCTTGAACACTTGCTTCTCTGGGCAACCTGTGCCAGTGCCTCAGCACGCTCCAGGGTGATAAAGATACTCTGAATTCTAAACTTCATAATGACAATTAGAGGAAAATACAGTTATTAGGAGATGCAGTCTCTAGTGATAAGAGTTCAGAAGTTAGATGATGAAATTACTTAGATTACTTTTGGATGAAACATCATTTACCCTTTCTCCATACACAGATAACCCTGTCTGATGAAAGAAGAACAAAGAGGTGCCAGTCAATACACAATTAGATAATCTAATTTGATAAAATTTAAAAAGTCATCATTTGGGTTTGATGTAAGTTTAATCTGAACAAATTGATTTAAAAATACAGTATAAATAATTCTTAACTTATATAAAACTTGAGTAAAAATTCATTTTTTGTTGTTTGCTTTTTTTTTAACTAACTTTACAAACAAGCATTACTGAACACAGAACCAAGACATTTAAAATGTGGCCTTTTCATTAAGACATAAAATATATACATGCTCACAGTACTTTCCTTTGTGCAAAATATGTACTGGCTGTACCTTCCCGTACAAAGACAATTTCAGCTTACTTTGCATAGCAGAAAAGAAACACACAAAAAACCCCACGAGATACCTCAAGTATTATAGCAACAAAGTCATGTAAGCCTTTGGAAAAAAAAAAATAAAAAAAAAAATATCACTTTCTCGTTAAGAGCCAGTTTTGATTCTAAAGCATTAATTAAGGCTATTCCAGTATTGAGGTCTTGCAGTACATGTCCAAACCACACACTGTCCTTCATACAGCCCAAGATATGTGCAGGCTGGTAGCAGTCATGGTGCCTCCTACCACACCCAACAAACAATATCCCAACTTCAGTCTTCTGAGACTTCAAGTTTTCGTTGAGGAATATACAGAGTTCCTTGAGAGATTCTGTCAGTACCATCTGAAGTTGCAGAGAGGGAAGATACTGAGTTTGGGCCTCCTGGGGTCCGGAAGAAGTTCTCTGTAACTGTCTGTTGCTCTTGGGGTTCCTTTGGAACAGAAGGCTAAGGAGAAAAAAAAGGGAGTTACTTTCATTTAAAGGGGAAGAAAAAAAAGTTAATTCTAGTTTTAGGTCTCTGCAGGATATTACAAAAATAATTTCTTTCCCTAAAATTATACTGAGAATATACTTGAATTCCTTGATATGTCTATAAAGGTATATATATCCCAATAATCAAATGAAAACATGGTTTCTAACTCCTTTTTTAATACAGATCTTAAGCAATACATTATTATACAAAATATAAAAGAGAAATTTCCTGGGGGAAAAAAATATTCTTTTACAATCCTATCCTCTCCTATTAAAAGTGTGAATGTTAAGTGCAAGAACTTTAGAGTGGAATAGCAGTGTAACAAGAATGAAAGATAAAGTAACAAATGTACAATTTGTTAATGTGTCATCTCAGATCTATGCAGAATCCTCCCTCTAAACTAGTTGTCTCTTCACATCTTGTCATCCTCCAGCTGGCTCGCCTTCCACAACAAACAGGATACTTGTTATTCCTTTCTAACTTCTCCACTGCACTGCACTTAGGCTGGCCTTTATGCCAGGTCTTTCTGGGTAGTGCTGATTTAAAGGTCAAAAAGGTGTTTAGTTAAAAATATTACCTGCTAGAAAGGAATTACCACACTGAACTTCCCACTCAACCCACCAGTGAGGAAGCTGCAATGTATTTTTACTTACTTTCCCTTCTTGCAAGTTCTCTGAGCTGTGGCTAACGTTTTCTGGTTGGGAAGGGACTACCATGTGCTGAAGGATAGGATTTGCAGGAACTTGCACACCAGCAGGTATTAGTCCTATATGTTGAAGTGTGAAGTTCAGAACTGAAGAACTTGGATTTGGGGCAGAGCTGGTATTGCTTGAACTGAGACAGGAATTGCT